ATAATGAGACCTTCTTTTCTATCTTTTTGAGACGGGGTCTCATGTAGACAAACTGGCTTTGAACTTACTATGTAGCCAAGAATGACCTAGACATTCTGATCCTCCTGCCTCCACTTTCCAAGTCTTGGGATCCCAGGTAAATGCCACCATGCCCTGATATACAGCACATTTTTTTTTTTTTTTTGTCTTCAATAATAAGACTTTCAAATTGACTTCAGAGACAGGTAACTGTGGTCTTTGGAATTTACCCTTCCAATATATTTAAGTAAAACCTAATTTCCTAGGAGTATATTTCTTAGTGAAAAAAAAAATGACCATGGATATGTAAAAGCTCAGATGAGACCAGTAAACATTCAAGAAGTGAAACCAGCAGTAACTCTGCATGCCCCATGCTGGCTGTGAGTCCCTGCAATGAAACTCCCACCACTGGGTGTTTATTTCATGAGATGCTGAGTGTCATGACTTGTTGCAGGTAAGGATCAATACCTCCACCCTCTCCAAAAACAAAACAAAACAAAACAAAAAAACAAAAACAAAACAAAACAAAAAAACAACAACAAAAAACCCACTGATTTTTGGAGTCAATTGTTTTATTGTTGTTATTTTCACACCGAGGAGACTTAGTTACATGAAGTGTATTCAGTAGGTTGGTTATCAGTAGTAGAAGCACAAGGATGCAGACAGTGGAACATGGAGGAATGCCCTTTATCAGAGTGAGAGCATGTGACTGAAGCACACCACTCCAAACGGCCTATGTACAGGTGCAATCTAAATTCCAGTTATGTGCAGACAGAGTCACAGAGTAAAGGACACAGGGTCGCTGTACATCTAGCCAGCCGGTGAAAACTGCTCACAACAAACACACAAAAGGACAAAAATGACTTTAAAGTGCATCCAAAGGAGTCTTGAGGGCGTGAAGATAGGGGCAGAGATGTTTCTGTAGAATCCAGGCAAACAACGGCAGTGTGAGACCCTGACCTCCCCTAGGAAGATCCTTCACAAAAATGGCATTCTGATATGTTTTAATCCTTCCAAAATATATTCATTAAAAATTCTAAAAAATTGTTTTTATTCTTTTGATTGGCATAGTTATTGTATATATTTGTGGGGTGGAATAACATGACCAAATCTGGGTCATAGGTTCTGCTGTAGTCCAAGAAAAAGGTATGGTTGGCAGTAACTGTACATCTTAAAACAGAAGATTTTGTGTACTTTTGATATTTTTAACATAACCCATTTAAAAGACAGGTTATATCTTGTAGGGCATATATCTATGTTAGAATCAACATTAATGGTATTTTCTGTTTTAAAAATATGCAAATAATAAATGCATAACTTATCTTTTTTTTTTTTTAACACTAGCAGTGGCTTCATTGAACCAGGAGGGTAGTGTTTGCTACTCTTACTTTTTTTGCTATTTTTGAGACAGGGTCTCATGTAGCCCAAGCTGGCCAGGAGTTTCCAATCCTTCTGCCTCTATCTCTTCAGTTTTGGGGGTACAGGTATACTGTCATGCCTAGCTTGCACTCATATTTTCATGCATCTCTCTGTGTCTGCATTGTGAAGAGAGAAGGAAGCTGTTGCTTATGGAGACTTGAGAAAACAAGATTGGGTACAGGGACCATGAAGGATTCTATGCCGAGTGCCACGGAAACTCTCTATTCTGGATGGACAGTCTGACTCTTTGAGAACCTTCAGCCTCCAAACAGCCAGTGATAGAGGAACATCACTGGCTCTGCATCCAGACATCCTTTCTTTAGGGCAAATTGTCTGGTAAAGCCTAAGATTGATGAGGTTGTTCAATTTAATACTCGGGCTTATGTGGATGATTTAGGTACCCTGCTGTGGTGGATTGTTCTGGGCTATTTTGCTCCGGTTAGTCATTATATTAGCTTTCACTCATATTGTATTACAAAGTGAAATATTAAAGGTTTTAGTTGTGGGAACATCTGTGTATATATGTGTGTAAAGAACTTACCCTCCCAGTCAGAAACTGTATTTTAACAGAAGCAGGAAATAAACTGCCCACTGCACTATGAAGCCTGTGTTTTCACTTGTTCGCCCAGGGACACAGAAAAATTTAGGGATAAGATGGTATCAATAGGTTGTATATCTGTCTGCCATTTTTATAAGGGAACTTCTTAGACCCATCATATATCTATATAAGAACACAAACACAGTCTAATTTTTCCAGGCATGTTTGCTAATTATCCATTTCAATTTCCATGTGGATGAATCTTGCTTTACATAGCAAACGGATTCCAGAAAAATAATCTAGAATTTTTAAAAAGGAAGTATTTTCAGTGTGGTAGTGTAACTTGCTACTTAAAGAAACCATGCGATAAGCTACTTTGAAAATGAAGAATGCTTCTGTGAAACAAAGAATTTCATTGATTTTCAAACAGTCTGATTAAAATACACACCTAAAAGTTTATTAGTAGATTAGGACTGTCTAGAAGAGTAGTTGTAAGGAATAAAAAACAGAACAGATAAACTTCATTTTACAACAAACACTACATAGAATGACTCATGGACTGTTTATTGACTATATTCAGAAGCCCTGAATATATGCATTATTGGTATTTTATGGCTTTAATTAAGACAATCGTCTCTTATGAAATACTATAAAGTGCAATATTAAAAAATTAAAAAACCCAAAAGGCATCCATTGTCCTTCAGTTTTATCCTGATGACAAGAATTGGGGATTCATTGAATTAACTGGCAAGGAATTCTCTGCCTTAATTCATACATGTAGTTCATTCTGGAAATGATTTTATTCTGGGATTCAGACCTATTTCACTTTTCTCTTGTTTGTGTGGGTGTAATATGATTTAAGAAAATTAGTACTTTCTCTTGGCTAGCTGAGTGTTATACAGAGCTGTCAGCACCCAAGGCCTTTATTACTTACATATCCATTATGAAGAAATTGCAACCCAAGAGGAAATTCCCACCTTTTGTTGACCAGGTTCCTAGTCAGGAAGTGTCCTTACTGTTTCTATCAACCTACTTCGTGGGAAGCAAATGCATGGTGGGGCTCATAACAAGAGGAGCTTTAACCCTTTTTTTCTGACTTCCCATTTGAAAGGAGAATGTTACTTCCTCTTGGTAATCAACGCAGGCAAGCATAAACCCAGAGTCTTGGGATGATCTAACATGGCTCCCTTCCCATCTCCTTTGTGACTATGGAATGAAGATGTAAGATGCAAACAGAGCTGTGATCTTAACCTCACCAGCACTCTGTGATAATGCTGTGACCAGTGTTCATCTTGACACCAGACAACCAATTCTCATTGGTACCATATTCAAGTCTACTGGTCCTTGGAAGGTGTTTACGCTGTTGTGCTCCTCTGTGGTTGTGGATTTTGCCTACCATTCAAAAGCAATCAGAATGGTCTCCTCCAGGGAGCAGTCATGCACAGAAAAGTGTTGGGAGTAAAGGTATAGAATTTTTGAAGATATACATTGAGGAGGAACAGGGACAGCAGCAGGAAGAAAAGGAGAAGGAGAAAAAGGAGGGGGTAGAAGAGGAAAACATCTAAATAAACAATAAAATTCAAGGACACTTCTGATGAAAATGAGTAGAGGGTCCCACAGTAGCAACTTTCAACCATGTCATGGATAAAGATCAAAAAGTGTTCAAATGCATTTGTCTTCTGCCACGAGGGAAAAAAATAGGTGAAGTCATCAGCCGGATGGTCTTTGGGTGGAACTGGATGGGAACTTTTCTGACCTTGGGTATACTAGGATCTCTTTGCTGACGTCCCATGATTTAATATTGGTGGTCCTTTGTACTACAGTGACCAGCAGACAGATTGCCCTACTGGAATCAGTCCTTTGTGGGAGCCCACACACGTCCATGGCACTTTTCCATCCTCAGGTGTTTATTAATTTTCCAGTTTAGCCCATTAATGTTTTAGGAAAAGGGGCTTAGGCAACATGTTTTGCCATTCAATCCCTCACTATACACTAATTTGAGCTCCTCTACCTAAACTTTCAGGACTGGTTTGGTCTCTCAAAAACCAGCTAGGTCATGCATTTGTTTGTCCTTTGTGGGGCCCTCCCTCCCACTCTTTCTTAAGAAAACCCATTAGCAAGATTAAAGACTTTGGTGACATTTAGGTAGTTTGGAGCAAGGTTGATTGTCCATGTGTGAGAAAGGCGTGTGGATGCATGCTGTCTGGGAGGTCTACATGGAAAGCAAGCCACTTCCAGATGTAGTAAACATGAACACATCTGTGATTCCACAGAAGTCCATGTCCTCCTGTTGCTGAGGCACCACCGCCTATGTAGACCCAAAGTGCCCAGTGACATGAAAGAAATATTTCAAAGGTGCAATAACATGTATTGAATCTGAGCTGGCTGTATTTCCTTTATTGCTTTTCTTGTTAGCTATATTTCAAAGAATATGAGGCTGTGAGATTAAAAAGGACCACAAAGATCCAGAGGCAGGAAACTAAACTCAGACAGATACTGACTGGGCCAAGGCACGGGAACCTTCTTCCCTGAGGCCTTCTTGACATGTGATTTTTCAAATAAACCTAGGACATATATAGGCTCTAGTAATTGATTAAAAATGTCTGCTATTTGTAACCACTTTAAACATCACAGATATATTTCAATTGCTTTCTTTTTTTTTTTTTT